TCTCCTGGCTCTTCACGATGCTCAGGAACTTGGACACAGGTTTGCAAGAGTGGGCAGCTCATTTCTACCCATTTGCTCCTTTCTGACTTCTTTCTCTCCAAAAAGCAAACCTCAGTCTGACTAGGACAAATTCCAGGACACTCGCAATGAATCTTTACCTATGGGTGGCATTGCCCTGTCTACCACATGCTGGGTCTAGGCAGGAAAGTCTCTTCTCCTGTCTCTCTCTGTCTCCCTCTTGAGCTATCACTTTTGCTCTGACTTTGTTAAGGGGTGTTACCCCATCAGACAAGCTGTCTTCTGTTCCTGCCCTCCAGGGTCACAGTGAAGTAGGCAAGACCTGCTCTGGGTGGCCCCTGTGACTCCTCTCTTTGCCCTGGGCAGCAGGCAGGTCCAGGCCACTGCCAGGCTGAGCATTTCTGTTACTGTGCCTGGCTTTTCTTGCTGATAAGCACCAGGTCTTTGGTGCTCCTCAGCTGACTGTGGTAAGACCAGGGATGCAGCGGTGGCCTGCCAAGCTGATCCATGAGTGCTACCCTGCCGTACTGTGCATTCACCTGGAATCTCAGCTCCCAGGTCCCACAGGACTGTATTCCTCTGTGTCCCCGACAGAACATCACCTGCCTGTGGGAGGCAGAGGCCGAGACCATGAGCCCACCTCTGCCTGGCTCTAGTGCATAGATGGCGTTGTCTTCCCTGGTAGGGCAAGGAGACCAGCCGCTTCCCTGACCTGTGCCCCACCCAGATGTAGGCCAAACAGTACACACCTGCATCTGACCCAAAAGCCCTCCCTCTGATTTGCTAGATGCACTAGGATCTGACTGACACTTGGGATCAGCGAATGATTTGTTCTTGCTTTACCACAAGGTTTACTAATTTACCCCTGTTTGGCAAAGTCTACTGGTGAATGTTGAAATCTTCACCAGCTTTATGTCTATGTCACATAACCAGTCCCAGCTAAATCAGATAGCCTTGACTATATGCTACTCATAACTCATTCCCTGGAACTAAGCATGATGACCCATGCCCTTAATCCTGACATTTGGGAAGCAGAGGCAGGAAGATTGCTGCAAGTTCAAGGCCGGCCTGAGCTACATAGCAAGATTGTGTCCCCCAAAATTAATTAATTAATTAATTAACTAATTAATTAAAACAATCCATTCCCTGGTACCAAATTATTCAATCAACCAGGATTTGGAGGTACAGGTAGTTAAAACCAGCTCTGGCTCAGAGAAAAATCAATTATCTTAAAGGTCTATTGGGTAGCTCACAGACTTTGACAGGCTAGAACAAGCTAAGAAAATGGACGTCCAGGCAGTAAGCTCCCAGTCTCGCTCACTATAAGTACACAGTGTGAGGCTACTGATTTGGTGGATGTTTTCTTCCTGTCTGATTAGAAATGAAGATCAAAACCACCTTCCTTTTACATGCCACGTGTAAATCAATAGTTATATTGGCTTACCTGCTGTTTGTCCTAATGCATCTTAGTTCTTTTTGTCTCCTTGTTGAGACAAAATATCTGACATCCAAAGTTAAAGGGAGAAAGGGTTTACTTGACACAGCGTATAAAGGTTTCAGTCTCTAACTGGCTGGGTCCCAGGCCAGGTGACACATGGCAAAAGGGAGAATGGCAAAGTAGCAGCCAAGGGAAGGAGGGAGGGAGGAAGACTTTCTGTCCCTGTAGCGTATGCAGGGCACAGAGTGCCCGAGGGCGCGTGTAGCTCTCACACCTCTAACCCTACCCAGAGCTCTGCCAAGCCAAGCAGTGGTCTTATCTACTAATCACACATCACACACTGTTAATCCCAGCGCCACACGCTCTAGATGCTTCACTTCTGAAAAAGCCCTGTGGCCCCATGAGGTTTTGTGGGGACAAAGAAATCTGGATCACCTGGTGTCCCACAAAACATCACAATGATGATTACATTGGTAACATCACACGAACCAGAGAGGATAAATTAGGGGGGCCAGAACCCTTGCTTCAGAGGAATAAATTACTGACCTGCAACAATAGGAAAGAATCTCCAAAGAATTACGATGAGAAAGAAAGCCATACGCCAAAAAGTGCGTACCGTGTTTCAATTATGTAATAACATTTTAGTCCAGGAGAAGCCAATCTGTAGTAATAGAAGCAGCCCCACGGTTGCAAGGACACGGAGCTTCCGGGCATTGGAAATGGTTTATATCTCTACTGTGGCAGTAATTATATTTGGCCCAAATCATCAAAATGTTCACTTACTATTAAAGCATTTTTTGCATAAATAAAATTGAGCTAAAAAGAACTAAATATAATTTTGATAAGCTTTCACAACATAGATCACTTGGATATGAATTAGGGAAAGTCTTCCCAATTGATTGTATTTTTTAGCATGGGTTGCTGAGAAGAAATATGCTTTATCTTTATGAATACAGCAGTACTTTTCTTTTTTCTTTTTTTTAATGTATGTGGTACAGAGTCTCACTATGCAGCTCAGACTCGTAGTGATCCTCCTGTTTTCAGCCCTCCCAGCACTGGAATTATGGGTGTGCACCGCCAAGCCACAAGCCCGCTGTGTATGGTGGCTCAATGGGCCCAGGGGGGTGGGGCCGGCGCTGCACGTGGCGCTCCAGTACTTTTCTCACAAAATAAGTTTTGCCTGATCTGGCATTGTTTTCACACTCTTCCTGCTCTCTCTCCCCCGCACTCCCACCCCCACTTGTCCAGTGTGAAATTAGACCTCTGAATGGGTCTAATGTTCCTTCCTGATGCTCAGGCAAGGTTTTCCAGGGCAAGTGCAGGGGCTTCAGGGAGTGCAGTGTGACCCTGGCATACAGTCTCACAGCTTCCCAGCACCTTCCAGCCCTGCGTGCTGCAATGTCCATGCACCCCTCCCTTGACACTTGGCCTTCTCTCCCTGCCCTCCCGCAGACCTGCCCTGGCTTCCCTCCTACCCAGCTGGGCCGGTGGTTGCACTGGGCAATGCCATTCTCCTACCTCCAACGGGAAGCTCAGACGGGCTCTCTCCTGTCTAGCTTTGGCGTCAAGACTTCTAAATCCTAAAATCACCTTCCTCACTTTTTTTGAGGGCTCTGTGCAGGCGGATGTCACAGGCTGAATATTCTTAAAATGAGTAGCTTCAGGGCCAGCCAGATAGCTCAGTGGAAAAAAGCGCCTGCTTAAGCGGGGTTCAATCCCCTGCCGTGCTGGTCCCACCCACGGGGCGCACTGTGAGGGCGATTGAGACTGGGCATGGTGGTCTGCACCTGTAATCCCAGCTCTTGGGAAGAGCTGAAAACAGGAGAATCACTATGAGTCTGATCTACTCATTGAGACCTTGTAGATCCTGTAAGCCCTATACTACATATCAATAGAGATTCTGGGGCAGCCCTAGCCAGCGAAGAAGAGTTGCATGTG